AAGGGACTGGAATCATCTCCAGCATGCAACAATGTAATGACTTTTTCTTCCTTGGGACAAAACAGATAGCAATGGGCAGAGTTGGTAAGAAATTATCCCAATCTCATTTTTTTAAAAGGATTTTCCGCGGAGATTAATGAATTAATATTGATAATTGTTTTGTAGGGGATGATTTCTGGTTCCAGGACCCAAATGGGGATCCCATGGGAGTGTACTGGCTACAAGGGGTTCATATGATCCACTGTGCCTATAACAGCTTATGGATGGGTCAGATTATTCAACCCGACTGGGACATGTTCCAATCTGACCATTGCTGTGCCAAATTCCACGCCGGATCACGGGCCATCTGCGGTGGACCTGTATACCTGAGTGACTCCCTTGGTGGCCATGATTTTGACCTTATTAAGAAGCTTGTTTATCCCGATGGCACCATTCCCAAATGCCAGAGCTTCGCCCTTCCAACTAGAGACTGCCTTTTTGTCAATCCTCTCTTCGACAGTAAATCCCTCCTCAAGATTTGGAACTTCAATAAAGTAAATTTTTAATCCGAATTATAATTTATTTAATTTTGTTTTTTTTTTTACTTAAAAAAAAAAACTAAAGTATTTCAACCTTGTTTATGTAGTATGGAGGTGTAATTGGAGCTTTCAATTGCCAAGGAGCGGGGTGGGATCCAACGGAGAAGAGGATCTTGGGTCATACCGAGTGCTACAAGCCAGTTTCCGGTGTTGTTCATGTCACTGACATCGAATGGGACCAATACAAGGAAGCTGCTCCAATGGCTGAGGCAGAGGAGTTCCTGGTCTACCTCAACCAAGCAGAGAAACTTCTCCTGACAACCTGCAAATCCAAACCAATTGAAATCACCATCCAGCCATCTTCCTTCGAGCTATTCAACTTCGTTCCAATCCAGAAGCTCGGCCATGTTGCCAAGTTTGCCCCAGTAGGTCTAACCAACATGTTCAATAGTGTTGGAACGATTCAGGAACTGGAATATGTTGTGTCGGGAGCTGAGATTGGTGTCAAGATTAAGGTGAAAGGTGGAGGGAATTTCTTGGCCTATTCTAGTGTGTCTCCGAAGAAATTTTACTTGAATGGTGCTGAGGCAGTGTTTGAGTGGTTGGCTGATGGCAGATTGATCTTGAATGTTCCATGGATCGAAGAGGCAGGTGGTGTTTCAGATGTGGTTTTTCTTTATTGAAGTTTTAGTGATGTTTTTTTACATTCTAGCCACGGTCCATGGCCTCTAAGTGGTTATGACTTTATTACAAATAAATATTGGAACCCTATTATTGGGAAGATTTTATATCCATCTCCCTTTATTGATTTTACATCCAAGGCACATGCCACCACCATCTCATCCCAGTTACAATGGTCGCCTATGTAAGAGACACTGCAAACTCGAATTTAAGAAACCAGCTGAAACTTTAAAAGCTATTTATAGTATAAAATAATTTAGTAATAATTGTTTTTATATTTTTTGTATAATTTTATGTATAATTTAAATAATTAATTTTTTTTATTCATTTATGACTTGTAATATTAAGTGTATTAATTTATTAATAATATATTGAAATTATATAAAAATTTATTTTTATTTCACTGCTCATTCATGATGTGTGTTAATGTTTTCAATTCCTATTTTTGTTCCTCTTCTTTGAATTTTAAGTCTTAGATTGAAATTAGGCGTCATTATAAACTCATCAAAATCTACTTAGCAAATCAAACTCAACAAATTAATTAAAAAAATACCCAACACATTTTTTTTTAAGCCCAAATTTTAAAACTACTACTTCCTAATTTTAGGACACAGTCAAATGATCAATTCTCGGCTCATATCTTTAAAAGAAAATTAATCCCACTTAATTCTTTTTTTAAAAAAAAAAAAAAACCCAATAACATTAATTTTAAAGCTCAAATTAAATAGAACAAAGTACAAACTCCTTCGGCCGCTCGCATTCTTCCAAAGCTAGCCTAACTCCTATAATTTAATGATTAAATTGCATTCAATTAAAAAAAATTAATAAAATAAAATTATATATGGTTATTTGATATTAAAACAATTAAATTTATTTGATATATAAATTTATATAATTTAATGATTAACAAATAAAAAAATCTTATATTAAATTATTTAATTATAAATAATAATATTGTTGCAAATATTATATTAA